TGTCGACAATCATCCCAATCCCATCTTTTTATATGGCAACACCCAAAACTCTTCCCTAAAACGCAGCTCCCGGTTTTGAAAAAGACTCGGCGGCGCCGAGACGACAAATCACTTCCGCTAGTCTTTTTAATCCTCGATGCGTGCCCCCGAGCTGACAGATGTGTTTACCTTTTTCGGAGGGGGGCCAAGTGTGCCATACCCCCAGAAATGAGAATCTCGAATTCGGCGTGAAACCCTGAATTTCCAGAAAAAAATGTTTTGCAAAAAGTGGTTGACGAGTGCTTAAAGGAAAGCGAGGGTGGATGGATGGTGCGGAAAGGAAAGGTTGAACGAAAAGGGTGGAAGGGAAGTAGCCCCTGAAATTGGGGAATAAATTGGGTTTGATCTGCGGGTGGGGGGGGAGGTGAATCGAATGAGAACGAGGGGTTTGGGCTCTTCGTATCTCTAGCTAAACTATCTTTTCAAAGGAATGAGAAAAACTGGAAGTAAAAGTACATTAAACTAGATTATCGTTTTTCAGGTACACATATCATAACGGGGGGTTTCATCAGTTCTAATACTTAAAATTACTGTGGAATTTCGCGAGTGCTTTTCGATAAAGCGTCGAAAAGTTTACTTAAAGAATTAATTTCAGCCTAAAAGAATGCAAAATAAAAGTTCTATTGCATAAAAACTTATACCCCCTTTTACCACGCCATGTAATTTTTTACGTAACTTTTATCCCAATTTTTTACAAGCCACCACTTTTAATTTTCATTGATTCTTACAACACCTTTCAGCTCCACCGAATCTCATTTGCCGAATTGCTGCCAGGAAAAGCCGGAACCACCTGAAATTGCATCTATTCGACCGCAGAAAAATGATTGCGAAGCCCTAGCTTTCGCAGAATAATCCTCTACCGTAGTCACGTGTTTTTTAAGATACCACCCACAAAGCCGAGCGACCATTGGGCTTTAATGAAAAAAATATTGGCCAATAAAGATCAACACACAAAAACAGTGGTTTAGAGTACGGTATCTAGGTTTAAGATAACTAAGTTTAAGATACATATCTTAAATTTAAAATTGTGCTATTTTAAGTAAAGGATAAAAATTGGTATCTAGGTTACATTTAAATCAAACTTCGTCTAAATCTAAAAAATCAAATTTGAAGTAAAGAATAAATTTATATATTAATTTTGTCATAGTTTTTAGAAATACGACAATTCACTAGATTACTCTCTCGGCCGTCAATCGGGTATCCTAGAGACACTATTCAAAAAATGGCATCCGAACCACTGCTTCAATACGTCTGCGGTTGTGTTTTAGTATTGTTCAAGCATTTGTCAAGTATTACTAAGCCCCTTATCAAGTCTAAATCCGCCTTTTTCCAATCGTCTGCCCTTTCTTGATCTACGTGAGGGGGAAATCCGAATTTCCTGCCCTTTTTTATACGTCTCAGGATTGTTGCCATCATCCGTCTGGTGCTCCATTCAAGTTGCTCTGGCTGATTCAGCATTCCTCGTTCTTTTTGCTATCAGTTTCAGTTTCCGCGCCATAAACAGTGCTCCCAAAAAATGCCCACGTTCTTTTTTGGGTGCAGAACAGGAAAGTAAACATCGAGTCGAAACTTTCCTATACTTAACGTTAAGGAGTCTTCTTGAATTTAAAAGCTCTATATAAAATCCTGTTTTTGCAAGTTTACAAGTCCTTTTCCCTCATCTTACCCTTATCATCCCCCCACCACCCATTGGTGGAGTGAATAACGCTCCGAATTCGACATGCCTTATCGGAAAATGGACGCAATGGGCCCCCATCCATCCTTTCCAGCGTCCGCTTTTTAGTTTTCACCTTAAATTCAGCATTTTTTAGTTGTACAGGGTGTCCCAAAAAAAACGACCCATCTGGCATTTCGCCATGTTACATCCAATCGGTCCCATATTTGGACCAGCGGTGTATCATACCCTAAATAACAACAATCCTGACTTCTAGCCCCGTAGCTACAGTCGTTCTTGAGTTATAGCAAAAACAAACTTTATTTTCCATTTTTTATAGGGTTTTCGTGGAATTAGACCCCCTAACCATTAAGTGAAAATGATCCAGTAGGCCTTCTTTACCTTAAGGAATTTTTCCAGAGTAAAATTAATGAAATAATCTTCGATTTAAGCGATTTTTACAACGCAAAATTACCCAAGTTCTTAAGCGAAATTAGGGATTCGAAGCCGGAAGTCGATGCATCGATGCAAAGTCCAAAAAGATAGCCAATAAAACTGTTCAGAATTCCGGGAAAAACAGTATTTTCGTTATAACTCGAGAATGACTGTAGCTACGGGGCTAAAAATCAGGATTGTTGTTATTTAGGATATGATACGCCTTTGTTCCAAATTTGGGGCCGGTTGGATGTAACTCGGCGAAATGCCAGATGGGTCGTTTTTTTTGGGACACCCTGTATATTATACTTTTTTTTCTGGCCCATCGATCACATGCGATTTCTAAACCAATTATATTGAATAAATTAATCTATGATTCAGTGGCCAACGGGTAAATCCCCCCCATTTTGGCGATATGATTTCCGCGAATTGGCCGCATAATTGATTTTTATTTTCGCTAGTTATGGCCGAAAATATGGGGGCTATTTTGATTTTATGCCCTCAAAAAACGGTACTAGGCTGTTAGCAGGGGTTTTTTAGAGGGGGAAAATAAGTTTTACTTTTCCGCCTATACCTGCCTATTAATAATAAACAGCGTATTTTTAAAATGTGTATTTAGTAGTTTTTGTTTGCTAAAAAGTTGCAAAATTACTTAAAACATATTTTAAAATTCAAAAATTTATAGATTTGAGTTTTTGTGAGCTTTTGATATCTGAAACCTGTGTAAAATGCTACAAAAATGGCTATATTTTTGAATATGACTTTTAGAATTAACTAAAAAAATCATATTCCCCCTGCTAACAGTCCAGTACCGCAAAAACCTGTTTATTGTAAATTTGGTTATTGGACAGATACCTTTAAAGTACACTGCTCATTGAATTGTTGATTTTGGGTGGGGTGGTGGCGGATTGACAGAAATGACCTAATCGACATCTGTTATGGGCAATGCTTTTGCCCCCCCCCCCCTCGACACAATGTTTATTATGTGTTTATCGGGTTGGGTATGGGCTGCGTTTTCCAGGTATGCAATTCACCAGCCCCCCAGCCAGCTCCTGGTTTTTTTTCGGCTCGCGCATCTACCGATTCAATTTGTGCACCAGGGTGCCGGCAACAAATTCCCTGGACCACCGGAAACCCACACCGGAAACCCAACGTTTTAAGGATCCAACTTTTGTTTTAGAATTTGCAGGTTAGGGTTTGCAGTTTATAGCCACTGGCATCGTGCAACCTGTGAAAATCGAAGGGCCAGCTTATATGCAGGCGACGACGCGCACTTCCGGTGTGACACGGGGTGAATAACTCGAATAATCCTGGGCTGCTTTTGCTATACTAGGTGTTTGACGAACGTCAAATTTCGCGAAGTGGAATTTTTCTATGACTTAACAGCGCGATAATTTTGTGAAAATAGCATAATGGGACCCTCAATGCTGGGCTTTAAAAATAATTCTAAATATAAGTTTTAGCGACAAAATCTGTTTTTTTTTGTATATATCAAACGGAAATTTCAAAAGTCCAAAAAACCTGACGAAATAAACCGAAAATACCAAAAATCGGCTTTTCCGCGGTACCCCAGTTTTCGATCCAGGTTTTTACAGGTTTAAAAATTCTAATTCCATTTTATTTAGCAAATGAATGATTTCAGTATATTTTGGACGTTTTATCGAATACATTACACTTATAAATAAAATATATTTTGTTTTTGGTAATTTTTCCGCCCATCCGAACCAATTTTGGTACCCAAATTTTGTTATGTTGAGTTTCAAAGTACGGCCACGTTTAATAAACAATTTTCGATGTTTTTACTAATTTCCGGATTCTCTCACCTCTTCGAATCCTCCCCGAAACCCAATTGCTAATTGTTTGAAACCCTTCAAAAATCGAGGTGTTGTGAGCGTGAAGGGAGTCCAAAAAGGGCCCGCCAGTGCTAAGCCGAGCGCCCCCGGATTTCGCCCTGGCAGCAATAAGACAAATCCCTCCGACCTCTTCTCTTCGGCCTCTTTTGGATACCCTAAAGGCATATCCACCCTTTCTCTCCATTTTCCTTTTCCATCCACATGGGTAATATCCGAAAATGACCTTCCGCCCATCCCTCATCAGTTCCTCGGGGGTTGGGGGGGGGGGTACGCCTCCTAAATTGCCGAATCTGGGCCCCGTGCCCGCGGGGCTATATGGTATCCGCTGGGTCCATTTCCAGATTGCTATTGGTATCTGGGTTTTGTTTAAAGGGAATTTGGCTTATTCAATATACAGAATTTCCCAAATGTATCCCCCCAAGCGGACCTGCGAAGTACCCGATTTTTATCATTTAGGTGTTTTTCGAGTGCCTCGAAAACGCAAAAAAAGTAGGCTTACAAGGTGACGTTTTCGAGTCGCGCCGGGGTTGGAAGTTGCGACCAAGCCTATCTTACGTAGAATTTTACGCTAATTCCGAATATGATTTTCCAATTTGCGGAATCGCGATTTTCCGGAAGTTATGAACGACCTAAGACGGGGAAGCGCTCAAAATGAGCTACTTTCAATGGTTTTTCTGAATTAAATCGTTCATAACCTTCGGAAAATTGTGATTCCGTAAATTGGTACACATTTCCGGAAGCAGCGTAAAATTATGCACAAAATACGCTTGGTCTCAACTTGAAACTCCGACGACACTGAAAAACGTCTCCTTGTCAGAAACCATGATAAACGGATGGTACGACGTCGTCTGCATGTTACTTGCTAATGTCTCGCTGATGAGACACTTGTTTTTAGACATTTTAAAATCCAGTAGAGATTAAAAATCATCAGATTTACCCCGCGTGTTTATCTTTTTCATTTTTTTACAGCAGAACAAATCCAACTCTATCAAAACGCTTGCAGGCCCATCCGGCCACCGATGTCGGGCCGTTCTTCGGTCCGGCTCCTCGGACTCGTCTTCACAATTTTCACAGTATCTTTGCTGTATTCGGCGGTTGCTCTATTTTCAATCAGGTTAGTATTAGAATGCCTTATGTTAATCATGCTATATCTTCAATAAAGCCGATTTTTAGATCTGTACCCCTCGAAGACCACGGAATTATTGAAATACGACATCAACGCGGGGTGGGCGCCCATCCAAAAGCGCTGGCAATTCGGGAAGCGGTAAAAACTTAAAATTTGGACTTTATGCATTTGTCTTCGCTTCAGCAGGCCGCCCCAAAGTCCGCATTTATCGAAATCTCTCCCCGAAACTATGCTTTTTATGCGGTGGCTGATGGTAGAAATGGTAAACACATCTCAAAAACCTTAACGTCTATGTTTTAGGAAACATGGGTCCTCCTCAAATCCGAATTCTGATGGCCATCGAATCAACCGATGAATACACTTGTCAGGTATGCCTTTTAAAGCTGATGTATATCTTTACAGTACCCAAAAGGAAGCGTGGTGCCCGGGAAATTGTACGAATTCAGCGAAAATCATCGTAAACCCGAGCGGGCTTTCTATTTGAATTGCCCGCTGCCTGAAAACGAGAACTTGGATGAAGTTGGTAGGAAAAATTTTTCATGATTTATTTAGCCTTTCAGATGAAATAAAAATTATACACCGCGGGAACAGCAGCGCTGTAATGGGGATCAGCTACCGTATTCCGGTTGGTATTATAGAAGGCGTTAGCTGTTCAGCCATTTTTTCATTACAAAACCAAATATGAAATTCTAGCCGGAATCGGCGGTGAGTCCAGATCTGAAACTGTCGATTTGCGTACCCGTGATTTTTGGGGCAAAATACACAGCTGCGCATTTGATCGAATTTGTTGAGATGAACCGGATGCTGGGTGTTGATATGGTAAGGCACAAAAATTAATTCAAAACTTATGCTCTTAAATTCAGATTTCAATCTATGCGGGCGCAGATTTGGGTGGTGATGCGAGAAAAGTTCTGGAGGCCTACGAGCTCGAGGGGTATTTATAAATTAAAAACACTTAAAAAAAACTTTTTAGAATCGTGGAAGTGATCCCATATTTGATGCCCTTTGCCCCGAGTTCTATTTGGTATTATGGACAATTGATTACGGTATGGAAATAGAGGCTTTTTGGTTTCTAACTATAAGATGCTTTAGGTGACGGATTGCCTTCTACGACATACCGGGAGGTCGAAATTTGTTGCTTTTCATGATTTGGATGAATATATGATTAGCCAAGAAAGCGATGGTGATGCCTTAGTGAATCGGTGCGTTTAAAGGGATAGCTTGATCAATTTATTTAAGAATTGCTGTCCTGGAAAAGCTCTTCGCTAACGCGAAACTTGGTTCCTTACGTATTTCGACTTTGTATTTTGATCCTAGGTAAGCCAAAGAAAGATCCATTAGCCCTCCATCCGTTTACAGTGTTCTCCATCCTCCAATAACCCTCAATAATATGCATCGAGTCGCCTATGCTGATACAAGATTTACAAAATGTGTTCTGCGCCCGGAATATGTTTTTGAGCAGGCAATCCACTTAAATTATGCAATAGTATATTCTTAGGGTATCCATCACACCTCGCGGGTAATACAGGATGACTATGAAATTCAAGCAGTCTCGGAGAAGCACCTTAATCTCGTGCATTATAAGAAGCAAAGTCAAGCAGGGGTAAATTTAAAAAAAAAAAATTCTGTTTAAAAAATAGTGCAGCTTAACCTGGCCCTCATTATATAAACATTAAAAAATTCAGAAGCGTCGCCTTCGTACGCCCCCTCCAAAGGTATCACAGACAGCCAATATCTATGTTAATATTAGTTTCATTAACCCCGCATGCCCCCAAAAATTAAATCCATCAAAAAAGCTAAACCCCTTTTAGGTCATCGACAACTATTTCTCTCACCATTTTGGCGATCGCTTCTCAGAAGCCTTCCACGCGAAAATCAAACAATTCGGCCTGCAAGGATTTTAAATTATGAACCACTTCTCCCTCCCGCTCATATTCGCTATTATCTCAATTTCTACGTGTCCAGCCTTTATCACTTATTGAAAAATACCTTTTCCTGCATTTTTGGCAGGTTTTCACGCAACGGGTCTTGACAATGGATAAATATTTATTGATAAATTGCTTGTACTGCACAGCCGTAAGCGGAAGAGACGTTTTGGGCACCTTTTTCGATTTGAAACTCGCCACCAAGGATATGTTTGATGTGGACGAGGAATCGAGGTTCTGAGGCGGAACCCAGCTGAAAGTGGTGCCCTTTTTGAATGCAGAAAGATTTCGTACCAAACAAAATCGCTCGATTCCCATTTCCTTTAAGAATTGAAGTGGCAGTAGAGTGAAAAGGGTTTCGATTATACCACGGTGTAGGGCAGCTAGAATCTGAAAGGCATCGGTAATTGCCTTAAAATTATTTAATAAATACCTCATAAAGGCTCTCCTCTCCGGTTAACCCGGATATCAAGGCTCCACTCAGTTCCGGAAGTCCTCTCTCGCCATGAAAAGTTGGGCGGAATTTGGGCTAATTGTAAAATGAAATAACGCAAAAATAACTCTCACCATAGTCGTTATGTCGGAATATTTATTACAGTTTTCAATAATTTTTGCGAGATCTAGTTCTGTGCAAGGTCCATCTTGCAGACTGAACGACCAATTGGAAATCATCTGCAAAAATGCGTCAATATGAAAAACCGTAAACCTACAGTAAGAAACGTTTGCAACGCCGTTCCACCATTCAATCCGGCCGCCACCAAAAGTGCGCTCTTTTGATCGAAAGGGTCCAAGCTGTAAAAATTTACTTAACGATAAATGTGGATTTTCTACCGTAGATGACCGTAGCCAGCCGGAAGTTTATACTCTGGGGCGACAAGGCAACAAATTTGAGCAGCAGTTCCCATATTCAGCACTAAAAGCCGATTCAAAGAAGAGAGAGGAGTAACAGCTATACCTGCCGTCTTTTCACGAATAAACGGAAATATCGCCGCTTGTAAATCGCCGAGTGGGACGCATATTTCAGCCCCTTTGAATGGAAAGCCATCAATAACCCGCTCGGCAAGCACTTCTCCGTCCTGCGCGATTGATGGTAATGTAATACCCTTCACAAGATCCTATAATTACCGTTAAAAACCGCTATTGATTAAAAGCACCTTATGGTTCCATCGCTTTCCGGCAGCACATCCCCAGTCATTCGCATTTTGGGTGCCAATAAACACTGTCTTGCACCGTGTCATCCAAGCCACAAAGAAATCCATAATGGTTCCACAGCGGTCCCAGCTCGATTTCAGTTCATTTTTACGTTGTAGGTACAAATGAGTTGAACTACCGTATCCGGGGAATACCTCGATCGGGCTAAGACTAAAAACATAAATTTATTTCTAAGCTTTGCCGTTGATTTGTATTTTCAACTTTCCTACCTGGTTAATTCCGCCAAAATAGCTTTCGTGGTTTCAGGGTATTGCCATGTATATAAAGCAGAACAATCCAGCGTTGTCAAATCTTAATGGCAATTTTTCACAACATAACGACTTCCGCCTTACCTTCACCTAGATTTGAATACCAAAACACAATTCCATGCATTTGGCCAGCCACAGTGATACGCTCAATATTTTCATGCTCCTTTTCCGCAGCTTCCAACATTTTCATCGCCAATCCCAACGTTTTCGCAACATCCTGCACCCCGAGTTCGCTCTCAGCGTCATGTCGAGCTTGAGCTTCGTACAGAATACTGGGTTCAAAATGCCATAACCATAAAATCTTCAAAAACCTACTCTTTTGCTTCATCCAAAATACAGATCTTCAAAGAGGTCGTCCCAAAATCGATACCGAGCACCCGCATCTCTGTAGCTTATCAATGCGATTGTTATCACAAATCACTCGCACCTGGCAAGCGAGCATTTCCTTTCCACTTTATTGAATACTTTGACTATTTGCCCGGCACGGGGATTTTCATCAAGCGATTGGCAACATATAGGAAAGCGATAATGGCAGGATAGGCGGTAGCTTAAATCCAAAATTGAAGGCAGATTGCTAATGGGGTACCCGAAATAATTACAAGTAACATTGCACTTCTTAGATAGGTAGTGAATTCACAGGCGGTGTTTGATACATAGTGGACATAAGGAAAAAGGGTGTACAAGAAAAGTAAGGGAACATTAAGCTTCCATTAATACTTCGGCAGGTTCACTTTCGGCGGGTGGGTTTAAGGCTGGGCATTCAAAATGGACGCAATGGAAGATCTAAAGAGCTTAATAGCTAAGTATAAAAGTTAACTATTTTAATTTTTAATATATAAGTTCCAAAAGGATTTGAAGGACCGACCTCATTTACAGTGTTATGCGTCCCAACAATTCGAATGCAGACGACAGGCGTTAAATCAAACTTTAAGTGTTGCCAGGAGCTGAAAATAGATGTATAGATTTTTAAGAATGGAGTAGCTAGCTATATTGTACCGTACCTGCAAGCCTCATGCGTTTTATCGACAACGGTCCGCCATTCACGATTGTTTGCAGAAACATCAATACGATATGAGTAGGATCGGGCATCCAGATCCCACAGCAGAAGCCTCATCGTGGAGATCAACACCGGCTGCGGTAGTTGAACAGAAATATGACCAGAGCCGATTTGATGACAGGTGTAACTAAAGCGTCGTTTGTACTTATGGCGTCTAAGCCCAGCCTTACCCATTATCCCAATCATATCCTTGTGTATCTCCATTAATCAAAGCATTTCGATTCCGCGATACACCGTCGCTGACCAGCGCCCCGTTAATAGTTGTCGCAACATTATTCTTGGGTACTGTAAGAATTGTGTTGCCAATTGTTGCTCCAGGCACTCACTCAACAAAGCAGTCTCCGGGTCGAATGCTTCTGGCTCCGTCGTAAGCATCGCCTCAAAAGAGGTCAAGATGAAGTCGGCAGCATTTGTACAGGAGACCCCGTATATCCGAATAAACCTACAAAAAAAACGAATTTGCATTTTTGCTTTATTCCTACTTTGCAGGCCTTTTATCGAAGTAGAGCCGCTGACGGCCACGGCAAAGATACGCACGGTAGTCGACGACTCGTAGATATTCAGTGTTATCCATAGAAACCTAGAAGTTTAGTAGCCTTATAATGATTATTTCACACCCACCTCAACACAATATGAGTACTGCCTCAAGTCTTTTTCAAACAGCCCGAAAGCAATGTGATTGATCATGTATGGGTTCCCCAGCTAAAAATCTGCATCGTAAGCGTTCCTCGTACAAACCTCTAAGATAATCCCTGGCTCCTTTTCCGGCTGTTTCGTTTGTATTTTATGTTGGGTATATTGACGCTCGCCCTGGTATTTAATATAAAAAATTTTTATTAATTCTTACCTCATTATGAAAAACATCGGTGCTGAGGAGAGCATGCTTATGCTCCCCGACAATAACGGCTGCTCCACGTGAAGTCGTCGCAATGTTTTCATTCGGTGCTAAAATTTGGTGATGCGTGAGATTTGGAGTCGTGAGATACCAATCATTCCGCGATGCATGAGACGACAAGAATGCTTTGTGCGTTGTTTTTGGATTGCATCAAGAATATCAGAGTCGGAAACCAAACTGCTGGGGCGTAGCTAAGCGATGTGCTTTAACGACCGTCAGAAAAACTCACTACGCTCAGCAAATCGTCCATCGAAATCAATGAAAGACGCACATATTTCAAAAGCTCTCGCCCAAGATCCTAGAAAGTATGATATTAAATATAGCCAATTAGATTTGTAACCTCAGGATTGGCCCGACACCAGGAATCAATGGCGCGAAAAATATCGATCTCTCGCGCACAGAAGGAATCGCGCGAGATTAGCTGCTGTACGCATTCTCGGCTTAATTGGAGAAATCCCTGAAAAAAATTATCGTTATTAAATTATCTTCCGTATTTCTTAAGAACTCACTTCACTGCTCAGCACCATTCCCGCATTCCGGTCCGCATACTCCAAACAAAAATCGCTGAGGGAGGGGATGCTGTACAGTTGTGAGATGTTGAAAATGGTACAGAGGTTACTGTCATCCAGCACGAGCTGTAATTTTGGAAATCATACTTGTGGCCTGAGGCCAAACAAACCTTAAGGTACTCAGCCAGGCTTTCAACTAATGATGTAAATTGAAAGAGACGAGCATGAGCCAATATCTCAATCACCAAGTCCTCACCCAAACCCACCAAAGACAGGGTCGATGAATAAATAAATCTATACATATCCCATATGATCGAAAAATAGAATCCACCCAAATACCTGAGCAAATATTTGAACGGAGTGACAGCGGTCTCCTTCAATTCAACCTCTTCTTTATCGGTGCGGAGCCCTCCGTAAAATAAGGCTCTGCAAAAAGGCACATATATTTTGAAAGCGACACTTACTTAAAATAGCTGCTTCGCGCTGCTAAAATAACCTTATGAGCAGGGATACGCTCCCCATCTATCTAAAATCCGGAAACTCGAGCGACCATGATTTCACTTACAAGCAAGGTTACGTCGCTGCACTCCTCATTTAAACAAAGTCTGCCTATATCTTCGGATAGGGCAGGTATCTGCGAAATTTCGCCACAGCCTACAGTTATTATATTTTTGAGAAGGTCTCAACATGCCTGGAGAATAGACCCAACGCGTTTTTGACAAATTTTCAGGTAGTGGCAGGCCCTCCTGGCGGGCCAAATGTCCAGTTTCGCTCATCACTGGAAGATATCCACCTTAATAACCATGGAAATATTGTTGTTAGAAAAACAGAAAGAGCCGTTTGTCAGTGGTAGCTCGTCGGATCTGTGCCCGGAACCGCTCAGCTGAGCCACTAACGGGTTGGTCTCGCTGCGTATACCCTGTGGCGGCAATTTGAAATACGGTCATGTTTAGCTTCGCCATTTGGTCAACTGCCGAGAGTGGCCCCCTTCCAAAATGGCGTAGGATATCGCTTGTTTTTATAACCAGCTTCCCATTAGACTCTAAAGATCTAAACCTAAATCTATCTAACAAAAAGATTTTACAGAAATAGAGATGGCTTCGGAAGATGTTGAGATGGAGGACGTTGAGGCGAAGGCCGAGCCAGTAGAGGTAATTTATATTCCTTTTTCAATGCCGATGTTTATTTATTTATTGTGAGATCTTTAATGAAAGCTAAACGCTTAATCAATTTCACATACATGCTTATTCTCAGGTTATTCCCTTCCGCCCAGTCTCCGTATTACAAGTCATCACCAAGGCTCAAGCTGAGCATGGTCTCCGGCATGGAGATTTCAAGCGATACTGGTAAGCTCACTCCAATTTATATAGTTAGTCCTTTACGAGAATTACCCATCCAATATTCTAACTGTAAAGTGTTTTTACTCAACTTGGAGTTTCGATTCGGGGCCAAGTGCATCCTGTACAGAATTTTTCGCTGATTCCGAATATGTTTTCCAAATTTGCTACGGACCGTTATTCTGAAAGTTATACGGTAATTATGAACCTAGTTTTCACCAAAATGAAGGTATCGTTATAGTTTTCGATTTTCTTCATTAATTTCAACGTCAAAATTGACTAGGCGTTGGCTCGACAAGCATCCTACAGCTTAAAACAAGCATTTTAGATAAAAAATGAGATTTTTATGCAAAAAGCAAAAGAAATGATGCAGGGCGGGGTTCGAACCGCCGCCCTGCGCTTGGCAAGCGAGTATTTTGCCAATGCACCATGTTGCCAACTGGGTAGGTTGCTGTCGGAGGGTACTTCAGGGCCCCTGGGAACCATAGCACCAAACAAGGAATAATGGACCAGCGTCTGAATTTTTGGCATTTTTCGGCCTAATTGTTACCAAAAATGATTTTTTTAAATAAAAGTCCGTAGCAAATTTGGAAGACATATTCGGAATCAGCGAAAAATTCTGCACAAGATGGGCTTGGTCCCGAATCGAAACTCCAAGTTGAGTAAAAACACTTTACAGTAAGATGTTGACTAACTAATCCATATTAAGGCCAGTGATCTTTTACAGGAAGTACTGTGCTGACCGCTTGAAGCGAATGCGTCGTCATGCGGGTATGGTCCACAAGAACAAGTCGTTGAAACGCCACAAGAGCAAGTTCGAGAAAAAGCATATCACTGATGAGAACTTCACATCTGAAACGTAGGTTTTTCCTTAGCGCTGCGAAGCGGAGCAAGCCGACATAGATTTCGCTATCACAGTCATTCAGTGATTATCACAATCATTTCAGTATCCTCGAAATCCTGATCTTCGAGTGCGAACGCTGCTGGGCCACTGGGATGCACATGAAGGTAACATCGCTTTTATTACTACCATTGAAATATGGCTAGAGGTCGAGGCGAGACGCCATTTTAGCTTTTCTCGTTTTTATAATTTCTTTTATGCGAGTCTTTAAGACATAGATACACCAGTTTTGTATTTATAAGTAAGCCTGATTTCAGGATTCCGACTTGGATGGGAACGCCAACTCCCGGAAGCGCCAGGAAATTTTCAGGAAGCTCAAGCGAGCCGTTCACCACGCTGAGGTGCTCGAAGGGCTTGTTGGCAGATCTCCCAGGGTAGGTGATCGATTTATTATATTTGGTAGATCAGAGTGGCACAGGCAAAATATTTCGGACCGTGTGAGATTCCCACCGTTGGGTGTATTACTAAAAAACAAGGGGGAAGAAATACGAATTTGCAAACGTTGCATTCAATGCAAATTTTGTCTCCAGTATAAAAAAAATAAAATTATTATATTGCAGAATTATAATTGACCACTTGACCAATTTTCCGATTTCAGTGTGCTCCTGCCACAAAACTGGAGGCGCAAGCCTACCTGTCCTTCTTGATGGGCTTCACAAACCTCGAGATGAAGCGCTGGGGAGAAGCATATGAGAAACTAAAGGTTTGCACAACCACTGTGTAATTCTATCCTTATCCAGGCTGCTCGCGCCATCTTCGAGCGCCTGGCCGAAGCCACGAACAATACTGGGTTGAAGTCACTGTACAAGACAAGGTACGGCAAAGCCAAGTTTTTTGCGTGTCGGCACTGCGACTAATGCTGAGGCTCAAACTTATTTTCTGTAGATGCGATGAGCTGCAGCCGCAGCTTCGCATTTGTGAGTACAACACGGAGGGCCCGGAGACTAAGATGGCGAAGATCGGCGAGTTGATGGAGCTGCGATTGCAGATCAACGACAAAGAAGACGTTGATGTAAGTCCTCTCGTCTCGCCAAATCCCATCATTGTTAAGAAACTGATCGCACAAATGCGTGCCAAGGCGGCGAGTGATCAAGTTATTGAGATCAGCTGGGGAGGGGAGAAGGTCGGTTTTTAAGCTTTGCGAGATTACTAATTTGGGGAAATTCCCACCATCGACAAATTTCTAGACTACCGTGTCTGAGGAGAAGGCTCTCGCCGTCATTTCTGGCTGGCATCAGTCTGAAAAGGAGCTGGCTGAATGTCGGGATCCGAAAGAACGCGTATGATTATAGATAGCGGATTTAATTCTTGAATCTAGATGGCTCTATATGAAAAGCAATTGGCTGATACCAGAGATGCTATCGATAAGATGAGCGATCTCATTCGCAGAAACGCTGCTGATAATGTTGAGACTCAGGTTGGTCTGATGCCCTTCACGTTTTGGGTGTATCCAAATATATTCCAGCAAATGCACTTGATTTAGTCTTACCAACTCGTTCGCTGCTACCTCGATTACCTTCGACTTTCCAGCACCGCTGAGCGCTACTTAGCCATGATTGAGAACACAAAGTAAAAAGCAAGCTCGGCAAAACACTGTCATTCTAGATCCGAAAAGAAGTACCGACCCCAGGATTTGCTCCGTCTCTACGACTCTGTGATCGAAATCTACAAAGAGGTTGGCTGCGTAAAAACATTTTCGAAATCGTTCGAAGGCCTACATGGGCTCATCAAAATCATGAATATTTATAGGTGAAAGAAGTGAATGGGGCAGCCTGTGACGAACAGTTAATGGCTGCTTCTCGAGCTCGCATTGAATACTACCGAGCCTTCAGGTAACTTTCAAAAAAATGGAGCTTCAAAGCCATTTAGGTGCCATTACATGGCAGCTGCGTACGGTTCTTTGGGAAAGCTTGATGAGGCTTCAGCGCTTTTCGGGAAAACCGAGGAGCGTATCCGGGAAGCTGAGCGGCTGTTGAAGTCGGTTGGAAAGGGCAACCCTTACCTCAACGAGTCCTCGGTATGAAGGAACAAAATTCTGAAATGTGTTTTTAGACGCCACTTGCTAGTCTCTTGGCCGAAACGGCTGCAGCCCGCGCGGCGGTGAACGCTGAACGCCTTGCCGCCGCGTCGAGCGACACTCAAGCTGCTTCGGAGGTTGATGGGCGACCGCTGGTAGAGACTCTCGACGAGTGGCGCCAATTTCCCACTGTTGCCGCTGCTCTGCAACAGGCAAATATCGTTGTTCTTCCTCCTCCACCGTTGCCGATGCCTGGAAAGGCTACGTTCTTCGATTTGGCTCACTTTGATCTCCAGGTTGGTTATGGATTTTAAAGGAGCTACGCAATGGGGAGTTCGACTGCTCCTACTGAAGAGCAAGTTCACCTCCATATTTTTCCAGATGCCGGATCTCTCCTCTCGATTAGCTCGTCTGGAGGAAGAGCGTAAGACCCAGCAACAGCGAACAGCTCAGAAGTCTCAAGCCAAGAAGGGAGGACGGCCAGAGAAGAAAACCGAGCAGCAACAACCCGTAAGGACCTAGCTACAGATTTATTAAACCTGCTTTTTTTCAGGCGGAAGGAGCCCCGGCTGAAGAGAGCGGACTAACAAACATGGTCAAGGGATGGTTCTGGAACAAGAAGTAGTGTAATTCAGTTTCTGAGGACACACTTAGAATACTTCCCAAGATTGTGATCTTATCCCTTGATCAGACCCTTTCCCCATTTGTTGTTCACATTGTTTCAATAAGCCATTTTTCTTTTCTTTTGGATATGCTTACAACTTAGGACGACTATTGCCCTATAAACATGCCTTTCTCCCTTCTCGATCACTCGATCGCGCTTTTTGGGAGTTTTTCTTACACGGATGTGATATGTATGCTATGGTATTTTCACAGGAGCCCCTCCTTGAAAACAATAAAAAGTCGCTATTCTATTAACAGGCCTCAGCCGACATGTCATCGAGTATTTATTTTGTTAATTTTCATTTTATCATTTATGGTTCTCTTAAGCTGAATAAAGATATTTACGCTTATCGAGTGGGTTTAGATTTTTTTTAGAATACGTTTATAAAGAGATACAACTTTATTAAACCCGTTTACAAGGACCTGTGTAAATTCCGTGAGATTCATATTTCTATGATTTTGTACATTAAGTAATAATTTGGTTTAGATTTTTGGCAAAACAAACGTTAATGAAATAAAGCACCAGTGATGATAGAGCTAGACGGACAAAATATCAGAGACCTATACGCGTTGAAATTGGATGACACTTGACGAGGATGAGGTTGTGGAAATTTGATGAGCAATCATGGGCGAGCCGGGTTGTTCGGGCACCGAGTCGAGACGGTATGATGTTGTGGCGGTACTTGGCACTGATCCAAGCCGCGATACCGTACTCCTTCTCAAACAGCCACGCCCGGCAGCGGGTGTGACCTCTTCTCGCATCGAGAACTTCCTCTGCTAAAATGGAATTATTTTATGATGTTTGTAAGGCATTGGTAGTCCCAAAAGCAAGTGAGCATGAGCTTCGGGGGCAGGCGGATCATATTTCGAAAATCCAGGTTTTCTAAAGCCATTTTTTCTAGCAGCAATCTGTTCTAACATCAAATTTTGCTAAGCGTTTTCTGCCTAAAACCGGAAGTAGACTTATAAATAAGGGACCAAGCCTATAGGCTACCGCAACTTCCGGCGCATGCTAATTGTTTCCTAACAAAGAGGGTGGCCCATTTTGCAACAAAAAACTTAATTTTAACGTCGAGAACAGCTCATTTTTGAAAATTTTATTGGTGTGCAGTCATCCCCAGGCCATTACGCCCCTAATGAGGTGTAATACATACCCCTAACTACCCCCCTTATTGAGATACTACTGGAACAACCTGACGGAAGTTGCATGCAAATGCACACAGACACACACAGACACTATTTTTTATACATAGTAGGATATAAAGACCACCATGTAACAATTTTTCAAAGAATTTTTGCAATCTGACAAATTTCAAAAATCGAAAATACCAGCCCGGAAAACAGCTGATTTCAGCAGATTCTAGCCAGCTTCCGTGAAGCACAATTATGAAACAGTAGTTAGTGTTAAAACGGATTAAAAAGTCCCCTATAAAAATTCTTATAAAAAGTGTCACAAAAATTAGAGTCCTTTAATCGAATTTTCATGGGGTTTTTGGAGCAGAATTTAGCCAGAATTCAAGTGCAAAAATCTGTTTCTCTTCTGCTCTTCTGCGTCTATTTTTACTACAAATAATTTTTGCTTAGATTTTACGACAGCCACCAAGATTCCAAAAATTTAAAAGAAGCGCTTGCTGATAAGGGGAAAAATTTGACGCCTAGAAAAAACGACATGCGGGGGACATGCGGGGAACCGCTAAAAACAAAGCTCAAACATTGACGGCAAAGTTTTGACGCCTAACCAATGTTGGTCAATTCGAAGGCAAATAGAAACGGAGATCGGGGAAACACGAATGGCAGCCAGTCGGTCGCTTTGAACAACTCCTCGGAACTACTAGAAATCTAGAAAGAAATCGGAAAAGGCGCCGTCTTGGCCGAAAAATTGAACATTACCAACGTGTTAGTCAAAGATCATTGTTGTTTCACGGTCATGTGGGGATGCCGCCCCTCAACTAGAGAATTTCTAGAGGGGCAGGCTTTAAAAATTTTTAAACCTTTTTAAATATAAAAATTCTTCCGGATTATCGGGGAGACAAACATTTTTCTAAGGATCCACCTTCTCTATATAAAAAGGAAGTGTTCTAAACTATTTTTCTATACCTAAACGTAAAAATTACAAATTTGGATTAAGAATACGAAAAATTCTCTATATAAAAAGGAAGTGTTCTAAACTATTTTTCTATACCTAAACGTAAAAATTACAAATTTGGATTAAGAATACGAAAAATCTTCTCTATATAAAAAGGAAGTGTTCTAAACTATTTTTCTATACCTAAACGTAAAAATTACAAATTTGGATTAAGAATACGAAAAATATAGATTTTTCGACCAAAATTTCAATGAAAAATTTTGGCAGTTTTGTTGTTTTCCATTTAATTTTCTTACTTACTAAAAAACTAATAAAACACTTACTAATACGTTACTACACATTTCGGATTGCATAAAGAAAATGCTGCCCCCCTGATATTGCGAAAATACCAAAATATATTTTCAGAACAACATTGAAAAGTACAGAACGACGCTCGGTTTACCGATTTCCCGCAAATTTCGATCTGGTTCCAGTGTTGACCAAATACACCACTCTCGCGACGCACAGAGCGTTGAAAGAACCACCAATCCCCCTCTTCAACTCCCACGCCAAGGACAACTACAAATTTTGTAGCGACAACTGAAAATGAAAGGAGGATCCAGCAAAACTGTTCAGTTGAGTACAAGCGATCGCTTCTAGAAAAGTTTTTTATCAAAAACCTCCAACAAAATAAAAGTAAAAACGAGTCAAACAACCAAAAAACATCTAGGCTTTAGTCGCGCAAAAAACAACAATTCAATATCAGCAAAAGATCAGAAAATTGTCCAAAGATTTAAAATTCAGATTTTTGTTCTTCGATTAGATGCTGATAGTCCGCGTCCAGGTTGTAGAAACGTAGCGTGGCCGTCCGTGTAGCATAAGCAACCTAAACAGAAAAACTTTATGAAAAATTTCAGAACCAAAATCACCTGTGCGTATGTCAATCCCTTGATCTTGGCCACATATTCATTGAGAAGGGCACACGCGGCTGGATGGGTTGCTGTACCGGAAAGCTGACGCCGGCCGGCATCCGTCAACTCGTAGACGCTTTTCTAAAATAGCAACATTTGGTACTTGGCTGTTAGCGGGGGGGGGGTATCTAACCTAGCACCTTGCAAATTTCACCCTTTTTATTTTTAGCCTTGCTCTCGATCACAAGATGTAACAAAAACCCATAAAAAAAGTTTTTAAACCATGAAAGTCAAAATTCGTGCGGGCGGGGATTGAACCTACGGGTCAAAAACGAAAGGGTCCCTGCCGAGAAATGCTAGAAAAGTGATTTTATTGCGTAAAAACGTAAAATGTTTGAGATAATCCGAATACTTTTTGGGGCGAAAACGACATGTTGAGTGGGCGGCGATGAAATGTCGTGATGCCTTGTAAGGCCCCCTTCTCTCGAGCTCGGTGATTCTCTGGTCAATTTCCATAATTTAATAGTCCGGAATGATCAAAATTTGTTGCGGATTCCAAAAATAATATCAGAATTTTAAATTCAGTCGTTTTCGCGCCCAAACAGGGGCAAAAGATGCTCGTTGCGGCCGAATTGCTAGGAATCACAGCAGGGGGCCGTGGACCAGATTTCGGAGCCCCTTTAAAAAAACGCGGAAATAATTACCGTATGAGCATCGAAGAATGGAGCGTCCGTCTCGACCAACATCCGCGAAAGAGGGATCATCTTGATCACATCCCGAGCCTCAGGAGTATCGTCCAGGAAACAGGGCCCAATTCCTAAACAAATAGCTGGTACTGAACGGTTAGCGGGGTGGGGGGGGTAATGAAATACTCTCCATCTATGTACTGTCTACTCTGTTTTTATGTATAGACGGCTCACCCTAAAATTTTTAAATAAAAGTTTTTAAGTTCGCTCTTAAAAAAATTTTTTAATGCATGAAAACAGCCAAAACCTTGCAATGTTCTAAAAAATGTTTTTATGGCTTCCCATACCAAAAAACCATTAAAAAGGTAAACAAAAAATAAAATTAAAACTAACTAATAGATTTAAAATTTTCGCTAAGTAAATGGGATAGGTTAGATATTAACCTCCCCCGCTAGCAGACCGGTACCCCAAAAAAATCCAGGTAAAAAAGCCAAAATGCCACCCACCAAATAAGCAACCGGATAGTTCCATCCACGCCTTTATCCTTCTCGGCTTTTGCTGAGCGCAGTGCAGATATACCGGATAGGCGCTGCCCAGATACTAAATCGGAAAATTCAGCACTAATGATAATCGTTACCGTCGTGATGGTCCGGATCATCAAAGCCTCGTTGTCCTCCTGCGTGCGACAGTGCAACACCACGGGGAGGCCGTGCTCCTTGGCGAGTTGCAGATGCCAAATGAAAACCTCCATCTGCTTGGGAAGGGGCACGATCGTTCCGGAGGGTCTTAAAGGCATAAAAGCTAAATTCATGGTCTTACTTCATATCGAGGCCGCATTCTCCAATCGCGCACACCTTGTACTGCTTCTTGTCGTTGAGCAGCATCTGGATAAATTGGCGCATCGTTGCAATATGCTGGCCCTGATCGTATTTTCTGAAAATAAATGCGGTTGGATGGATAAAGAGGATCGGGTACTGGACTGTTAGCGGGGGGGGGGAGTAGCTAGATAGCTATATAAACCTAGCTAGAGCTATGCAAGCGTTATAGCTTTTTTGATAGTGCATTTAGCCGCTGTTGATAAAAATTCATACATTATTGATAAGATATAAAAAAATTTGCGAAAATTTTTCATAAAGCAATTAGCCACAAAAATGTATTGTTTCAATATTGAGGCCGACGGTAGAGGTGAAACCTAAGCCCCCTGCTAAGAGCCCACTTACTAAAAAACCAAAAATTGATTGTACCTGTCGAGCTGATCCGCGCTTCTCGGGTGTATTCCCACCGTCGTACCAATGATTTTGCGATCCTTCAACAAGTCGAGCACCCATCGCCAGCGTGGTACCATATGCGAGGGCATCACCAGATTCCAAAACAGGCCGCCGAAGTTTGGGGGAATCCTGAAAATAACAATAAAGATAGACTAGATCAAGTACAAACCGCTTGAACATTTGGTCCAGCTGAGCCACCGACGCGAACTTCATCTTCTTCCCACGACCATGCCCAGTACTAAAAGAATTGTAGTGAATTAAAAAATGGAAGTAGCCAATTTTAAAAGGCCTTGCAATTATCTTTCAAATGGACAAACTATCTCCAAACTAGTAGAATTAGAAATTTCGTTCAAAAAACGTGAATTTTTAGCCGATACCCTGATTAATATGTATCTTGACAGAAGAAAAACCGATGTAACCACCTCCTATCTCTATTTCTATTTGCAAATTTCCTCAAAAAGAACATTTTAGCTCCCCGATAATAGTAAAGAACCAAATCACCTGTTGAATAGGTCCAAATGAGCGTGAGCATCAAAATAGATCGGGCCGGCAGCTACAGTCGCAAAATGAAGATCCGCTTGGCTCGGGAGTGGCAAGTAGGATATTTCTCGCGAATCATCATCGGCTCCGAAAAACATTGGCACGGAACCGGTGGATGCATGCAGTGGCTCTCCCGAAAACGACCTCATCTCGATCATCGGCTCTTGTACGCGCTGAAATTCTGGGATAAAGGTAGGACTCCTAGCGGGAAGAAACTTATTAGCGGTTGGAGTTGATTTTTATTATCGCCTATACAGCCGTACTATCATAAAAATGCAGTAATTTTGTTGTCCTCGTACTAGTTTTCCAGTGCTTGGAAATTTTAGAAAATATCTCTAAAAATCTGAAAATTTCCCGTTATTGTTTTATTCCATAATTGAGCAAAAAAGCGACAATTTTTATGTGCTTTTTAGGCCCGAAACTATGGAAAATTCTATAAAAAGGATTCTGCTTTCGTACAGGACCGTCGGTATTAATGAGGAAAAAGCCACCCCCCCCCGCTAACAGTCCAGTACAAAATTTTCGCCCGGAAAAACAAAACAGTACCTGAAAAGGTGGAAACGAGCTCGTGGGCTGTTGTTCACATGCCATCGCAAGGGATTCCTCCGAAAAAACCGCATCAGCGATGGGCGGCCGCGCCGCTTGACTGGAGTCGATGACGTCAATGAGTTCAATCAACTCAATTTGTATGGGCATCACTTCAGCATCAACAGTGCTCGGGAAGGCGGTAGGCAGAGTGAGAGGCGGCTCTGCAGCTGCTTGTAGTGGCAAGATAAACGGCGTCAGGAGCTGAAAAAGTATTTGCAAAAGAGAGCTTAGGAGGCATACCTCTACATTGCCAGCAGCGCATTCGGCGACCTGCACGATTTGAACGGGAGGTGGGTGGCTAGCGATGACGAGCCCGGCGCGATTCCGACCGGGCATGAATTTGGGGCGCATCTGAATATAATAAATGCTCCGAAAGCTAAAGCAAAGCTTATGGGGCCATGGCCGCTGAGCAATTGGGAGAAAGTGACTTTGGAGAAAAAAGTGATTTCTTACAAACTTGATTTACGCCCTATTTTTAGCAAACGCGGAAAAAAGGTGTTGCTCATATGTCGCTGCTCATCTGTTCACCAGGGCCCGAACTACTCCTAATCGCTCCAGAAATTATACAGCTGGCAACAATACCCAGTTCAAACGGAACACAACTTCCAAATGAATATTTATCGAAACGAGAACTTTAATAACACCGAAATTGTGAACTAAAACTATGGGATTATGCGAGAGAAATGGCAAGCCAAAGGGAAACAATTAGCTGATCAACGAAGTGGAGAGACAAAAGCAATTTGTGCAACACGCGAGAACGGTTAGTAGCGCCGAGAGCCGCGGGGATCACGTGCATAGCGGTCGCGTCGGTCACGGTCATCGCTACTAAACATAAAAGTATGATATATATATGCAAAAAAGTCATTCGTACCGACGGGGTGGCGAAAGGCTGCAGCTGCGCCTCGGGCTGCGACTTTTCGAGTGATGGCGCCTGCGGCCATGTCGACGGCCGGAGTCTCGATTGCCACGGCGACCCTAAACCACGGCTTTAGCAAAAAAAAATGCATTGTCGTAACAAAACTTGTGGTAAGAGTTTACTTTACCCCCCCTACAGCCGAAGGGTCTCAAAGTTGTCGGTATTTTCGCTTATTTTGTCGGGATTTTCGCAACGCCATTCGATAGAGCGTCGAAAAATCTACTAAGAGTTTTAATTTGAGCCTACAATAATGTAAAATAAAGAGTTATAGCCAAAAACTTCCGGCTGGGGGGTAAAGTAAACCGTAGCCAAACTTGTTCATCGCTACATAAACACTGCGCGATTTCTCATACATTTCTGACCAAGAAGGTTTTAACGCAAAACTTCATTTTTTCAAAATCAGTTAGAGCTAAAATGGGCGTAAAGTGTCGTTAAAATGAGTCGAATTTCAAGCCGCCACTTAGCGAAGAAAGCAAATCCGCTAACGAATCCAGTAGTTTTTCTGCCAGCTTTAAAATAAATTTAAGTAAAAGACGGGTTAGCACACACCCTGGCCGCATTTCTGTCAGAAAAATTGGACCCTAAGCAAAAAAACTCCGGGTCTCTGCCGCAAAATACTAAAGAACCTGAGTCACAGCCATTCCGAGCAGCTTCTACCTGAAGTTCCTCGGCCTCCTTGAGCAACTCTTGTCCCTCGGTGACTTGGCCGGCTTCACACATCAGTTGCCCTTTCTACAAAAACATTAATTGCTTCCAGCCTTCCTCCTACATTCATATTTTCATCGATCTGGCGAGTCAGATTGGCCAATTGTTCGTCATACTCCTAAAATACGTGTGAATTGCGCGAAATTTCATACCGTCGTTACCCCTTCCACGCCCGGCAAGCAGCCAGCTAAAACGAATATAAAATAAAATGTAGAAACCATTACAGTTGAGACGATCGGTGTTCTTGTCGATTTTTCGTTGAATCTCTCGATTGATTTCGCGAATACTAAAAAGACGGAATGAGCGCGAAAAGATGGCTACCGTCTCATAAACTGCTCCTCGTAGCCAAGTTTGCCAAAGCGCGAGCTGCGTTTATATTCCTCTTTGAAACATTCGTCGTGACGCTAAAAACGCAGATTTCGAAGCAGGAAAATCCTAACCACCTGAGCGCATTGCCCAAAGTCCATCTTTGTGTTGCGGGACGCTTCTCGGGGACAGAAACCGGCCAACGCGAATTTGCAGACCTAAAATATCCAAGAGTCAGAAGCCACGAAAGAAATTTGTACCTCTGGGTTTTCAAAAGACACTTTCGACGCGCCATCGACTGAATTACGGCCAGTGCCCATCAACTCGTCGAGCATTTGGGCCATGAAAGCAGTCATGATGCAACCTAATACCTATTTTTTCGGGATCTGCCACGTGTTCTTGAGCGATATTCTTTGCATTCAACTATATTTCAGACACAAGGATTAGCCGGAATTAGTTCTTTATATCATACAACTTGCACAAAATGACAGGACATGCACAGATTACTCACTATAAAATCAAAACACATGATAGTATTCCGGGCGGATCTCCTCTCGGATTTTGTTGGCGGCTTCGTCAATTGCCGAGGATAGGTCAAAGGACACGTCGTGGTGCTCGTGACGGTCACGGTTGGTCGATGAAGCGCAGATTGCCGACTCATCGATCTGAGCAGATAAATAAGAAGATTCAAAAGATCAAACCTTTGGCAAATGCACATAGCTATTTCTCAATGGCGTCGAGTGGCCGTTAGGGACAGCACGGCGGTGGCTAGCATCAGGGAAGTGCAATGCAGGGCTGTGGGAAGCACTCAGCGTATCGGTACCTAAAATGCAACTTATCAATAAGCATGTCCGAAAGCGAAAGGAGGATCTATTTCGCAATCTGGTCATACTCAAGTCTTTTTATCAGCACTTTATTTGGCGGGTGGGCTTTTGGCTGGAGCGAACGTTCGGAAATAGCGCCCCCGAACTTTCTATTCCTCGTCCAGCAAGCAAGGTACGCAGAATTATTACCTGTATAGCAATCGCTTGGCGAGTTTGGCGGCGCAGTCGCATCGCTCTTCTCCGATCCGCGCGTCGAGCTGTTTTCCCGGATCTTCTTCGCGGCCCGTTCGATAGCGGCAGAAAGGTCGAACGTCGATTCGTTGTGTTGTTCCGGGTGGTTTTTTTTTTTTTTTTTTTTTTTTTTTTTTTTTTTTTTTTTTTTTTTTTTTTTTTTTTTTTTTTTTTTTTTTTTTTTTTTTTTTTTTTTTTTTTTTTTTTTTTTTTTTTTTTTTTTTTTTTTTTTTTTTTTTTTTTTTTTTTTTTTTTTTTTTTTTTTTTTTTTTTTTTTTTTTTTTTTTTTTTTTTTTTTTTTTTTTTTTTTTTTTTTTTTTTTTTTTTTTTTTTTTTTTTTTTTTTTTTTTTTTTTTTTTTTTTTTTTTTTTTTTTTTTTTTTTTTTTTTTTTTTTTTTTTTTTTTTTTTTTTTTTTTTTTTTTTTTTTTTTTTTTTTTTTTTTTTTTTTTTTTTTTTTTTTTTTTTTTTTTTTTTTTTTTTTTTTTTTTTTTTTTTTTTTTTTTTTTTTTTTTTTTTTTTTTTTTTTTTTTTTTTTTTTTTTTTTTTTTTTTTTTTTTTTTTTTTTTTTTTTTTTTTTTTTTTTTTTTTTTTTTTTTTTTTTTTTTTTTTTTTTTTTTTTTTTTTTTTTTTTTTTTTTTTTTTGTTCCACAGGGCAAGCAGATCGTCGATTCATCAATCTAAAAAGAAATTTGAGCAGAAGTAATCAAACAAACCTTTGCTAAATGGACAAAGCTGCGCATCAGCGGGGTCGAATGCCCTCTTGGGTATACAGCTTGACGCCGACGATCGACTTCTGGGGAGAGCAGACGGGCGGGCCAGGACACAAAAATTCCGCTGCACAGTTCCTATCGCGCGCCCTTGTGACCGTAACCCCCCAGAGCTCCCCCAGAGCCCGTTCGCCTTTTCCGACCAGCTTTTCATCGCGTAAATAATATAAAAGGAAGTGAAAAACAAAAACAATAATAAAAAGCAAAAAGATAACTTTTTTAATTAGAAAAACACTTTTTGAAAGGTACAATGGGAAATACCCATTAGTTGAACGTTCTGATGAGGTTAGTTGTCTAGATGTATCTCTTGATGATAGAGAAGGATGGCGGGATCGATAGAGAACAAGTTTCGGTGCCAAATTCCTTTTAGCGGCTTATGCTCTTAGTCGCGATTGCCTAACGTCTGACAGATCGCAGAAACACGAAGACGTTTCCTGGTCGTTACGTGGTCAAAACCGTATTTGTAGGCTTGCCTACCGAAGCGAGCCTATGTTGAGCGACCATTGCATACGCTGCAGAAAAGATAACTACAATGTTTACTAATCTTTTAGTTTATATTTTATAAAAAACAGCAGGCGGTTCCTCGATGAAGATGCTCTTCGGCGTACTCTCACTTCTGCTTGTAAAATTTCCAACTCGTCATTAGCTACTACGGTTATACAGTAGCTTGAAGGCAGGCAACTCATACTATTCAAGTTGGAAGAGCAACCATTCATTCGGCAGCTATAACGGAACACGCTCTCCGGCTTAGCCTATGTCTACTCGTCACAGAATTTTGGTTTCTCAGCCTGGGAAGAGAGAAGACCAGAGAAGACGAAGGGTAGCGCACGTCAGGTGAATAGCTAACAAAATCCACTAAACTAATCGCAACGTAACTGAATAACTAATCACGAGCCGCAACTCCCTCGTAGGGTGACTCTATCATCAAGTGATACATCTAGACAACCATCCTCATCAGAACGTTCAACTAATGGGTATTTTCCCATTGTACCTTTCAAAAAGTGTTTTTCTAATTAAAAAAGTTATCTTTTTGCTTTTTATTATTGTTTTTGTTTTTCACTTCCTTTTATATTATTTACGCGATGAAAAGCTGGTCGGAAAAGGCGAACGGGCTCTGGGGGAGCTCTGGGGGGGTTACGGTCACAAGGGCGCGCGATAGGAACTGTGCAGCGGAATTTTTGTGTCCTGGCCCGCCCGTGAGAGCAGCACCGGCGTATGCGAGGGGCTTATCGAAACGGCTTCTAACAAGAATGATCGTGAATAAAACGACACGGGGTTTACCTTCATGACATTCAGCCGGAGACTTCGGAGGTAACGTTACACCCTTGGCGTTGTAGAGGACCACTGGGACGGCGCTGTGGCTGGCTTCGCGAGCCGTTTCCATCGGGCACGAGCGGTCAGCAGTAGAGTTTCCGCCTTTGGACTTGTGACGGGCCGTCAGACAGACTAAACGACAAAAAATGGGTGGAACAACCGGGAATAATACATAGATGATGATAAATAATACATAGATGTCCTGAGGAACCCGGGGACTAAGATGAGTCGTTCTTGCTGATAGTGCATTACTCGAGAATGCAAACAACTGATGAGCTAAGCTAAGCCGACTCAGTTAAGCTACGGTTAAATTAGTGGTAAGACAGGTAATAAAAACCATGCTGAAAGCCAAGGCGAACCCATGCGAATTAGCATCAGCCAAAATTTTGTAGGCGTTGTAAGCCCGAGCTAAGACCAGGCTAGGCCTAAGCCGAAGCAAAAATAAAGCCACTAAAAAAGGTGGAAAAGGACAATCGGATTGTTTTGCGCTTATTTGTGCCGACTCCCTTGCAGTATATTAATACCGAAATTTCTGCTGTAAATACTACTCACCATGGGGATTGGGATGGCGAGTGCACGGCAAGAGACCGTACTCGTTCCATGCCGACCTCAAAAATGCATCTACAGGGCTTCCCAAGAAATAGAGCAGGCTGGAATTTCGCCATTTTGAATCCGATCGATATGAAATTTTGATCGAAGATGATCGATCAGTATTGAAAACGTTCACAGAAACTTTCAAGAGTTACTACAGGAGTTTTTGAGTTATTGCAAAAAGGCGTTAGCTATTTGTTTTGCGTTTTTAGCCGCGATTTCGCCGGGTTTGATCCATGAAATATATTGCGCAAGGACGCGCCGATCTCTTTTTATGCGCGTAAATTTTGTACTTTGCAAAATTCGACTTCAAAACAAGTTATTTAGGATTTATTAACAAAGTTTAATCGACCCGGATCTTAAGAGAAATGGAATTTGGAGCCGAAAGTCGATGTTAATTAATGCAAAACCCAAACAGATCGCCGTGAAATCAAGCGAGCAAGTTGCAAAAATACTATTGCAATAACTCAACCTTGTACTGATCTATTTAGTAACATTTAACTAGTTAATTTAACTCCTAATAATTTCTAAAGGTCGACACTTTGGGCGAAAATCGATCTTTTCGCATGTTAAAGGAAAAGTTGCAAAGGCTTTACGTTTAGAAAAGTCTACAAACGCTTAAAAACACTCGCTCTATTTATATTTTAAGTATTGGTTACGAAGAAAAGAGTTTGTCTCCCACGGTTAATAGGAAAGAAGCGTACTTGGTCATGTCGCCGCAGGGTTTGCAAAAATCGAGCCCAAACCGCATGGAGACTTTCTTCTCCTTCTCGCATTTGGCACAACGCCCGGCCTGAAATCAGGGTGTCATTTTTGTATTTCGTTTTCAGAATTACCACGCGAGGCGGACGGCCGCCGGCGTGCACCTTCACGCCGGGGATTGGGCCATGCTGGAATAGAAACAGGTTGGAGGGACAAGGTTTTTTTGTACTTATCTAGAAAGGCCTACTAACTTAATAGCAAGTATTTTAGTAGTTTTTAGTAAAACAAAACTATATTTGAACTGGAAAAACTTTCTAAAAAGTTGCATCAATTTTCAAAAAGTATTTTTGGTCAAAAAAAACCATATTTTTGTCTTTTTCAATAAAAATTGTATGAAATTTGCTAACAGTCCCTGGGGGACGGACGGTCGGTTTTTGTAAGACCAACCTCAACCAGCGCCAGCACTTGGCGCTCTTCCATATCCAGCTCTACATCGGCCAGTGCTCCTCCATCCTCGGCAAAATCCGGCATCGGAGATGGTTCGGCGCTCAGGTCGCTGCAAAATGTGGCATTGACTGCACCGGGGACTTTTAACAAAAAGCGTACGTGTTTATTCATGCTTTTGGGCTATCCTGACGATAAAAATAGCTTACAAACTTTCATGGAAAATTTAATTGTGGGCCGTAGCAATAACTGATTTTTCTCGACCCAAAATCACCAAAAATATCGATTTTTTTTGCAGACATTTGTCAAGGATTTGCTTTTGACAGCTGAAAGTACCCTGTATGATTGTCAATCAGAGGAAAAAGGGACGTGATAAACCGTCCTCACACGGCAAATACAGGAAGACCGAATTCCTTGAGCTCCATGGCGGCCTCGTTGGTGTATTGTTTGGTGGCCTCTTTGGCCAACGGCATGGTGCTCTCGGCGGCGAACTTCTGGGTGGCGATGACTCGGGTCGGAGACGAGCATCGGCGAGCAGGCCCCCGGGGCGCCATCGGCAAGGAGTCCCTGGAAATGAACGTGTAAAGTATCTATTGTATTCGGTGCAGAAATGACGAAAAAAGGATACACAAAAAAATTTTGCTAACCTGATGTCCGACTCGCGTCCAGCACATTCGTCCACCACTTGCACGCTGAAAACGCATTGTTGTAGACGGAAGTAGGAAGGAAATAATTAATTACCTCAGTTCCAAACTCGAGGAGGAGCGCGCCGGACCATCAGTCTTTGTCAACGAGTTCGGGCTGTAAATAATGGCGTAAATTTAATCGGTTCTTTCGCATTATCGGGGGGGAGGCAGGTTTTTTTACTACATTCGATAGTGGGGATCACGCGCATCTTATTATATTTACGAATTTGCTGCGTATTTAGACTCAAAAATGGAATTTTGTAGTGACCAGAAGGCCTTCCTCCTGGGATCATTGGGCCGCCCTTTTCTTTGCGCCTGGAGGGCTTTCCCGCCTTCCGATCCCAGCTGCTGCTCCGTGGTGTAGTGGGTTAACGCCGGGGCTACGACGCGCAAGGTCGTGAGTTCAGATCCTGCCCGAACTTAGCTTTTTGCTTTTTGGTAGTTCAGCAACAAAACAAATTTCTAGGCCGTCGGTGTGCGAGGTTTAGGCCTGACCCTCGCTTTAGCGCCGCTGGCCAAAAAAAAGTCCTTGGCCCAGGCTCTCGCGCCGCAGGCGATGGATGGGTCCTGGACCCAGGTTCTAGCGCCGCAGGCTAAAAACAGAAGATATTCGAATTCATGGTGCCCGGACGAGGTCCAGTGGAAAATGGCCGCGAAGCGGTCTTTTTTCACTGGTAATTCTAATAAGATTAAATACGAGAGAGGGAGAGAGAGAGAGAGAGAGAGCGAGAGAGAGATAGCGAAACCGGAAGCAAGCACAGAAGCGTGGATCGGCGAGTTCGACCTAAAAATGATTTGTATGTTTTTCGGCAATTGGTACAATTGCGTCGGGCTGACCGGAAGCTCGCCTAAATCCCGGATTGGCGAGTTTGTCTTAAAAGTGACTTTGTATATGTTTTTTGGGGAACGGGTACGGTTGGGTTGATCTGATCGACAACTCGCTCAAGTCAGCTTCCGGTGGCGGACGAGGCACTGAAAAAAATACAAAAAATTAGAGGTTCTTTCGCATTATCGGGGGGGGGGGGCGGAGAAAATTTTTTTACGAATACATTTTGTTAAATTTAGATAGCGGAAGTGTTCCTAACCCGTTTTTTTCGATTCATAAACGTAAAAGTTTACAATTTTTTATTAAAAAATTCTCGATTTTTCGACTAAAAGATGACCTTATGTAAAAATTTCCAGTTTTTGCTTATTTCGGCCCGATCCCCACAAATATGAAGGGACCGGAAAAACCCGAAACCAAATCGACTTTGCGCAAGCTAACAACTTTATTCGTCCTTCGAATTTTGCGTTAGCGGCGAAGATTTGGCTTCCTAGGCCCGTTTAAAGGATTGCAAGAATTACCTTTCAGCGGGATCAACGCCAGCGAGTAGACGAATTTCTTGGTGATGAATGGGAAACAGCAGCCACGCGAAAAATTGGTAGATGAGAACGGAGATCATCAGGACCAGGTCAAAATTTGAGAAGATTCCGGCGAGTCGTTCGATCGCAAACTGTAAATGCATGCTTCGAACAGGAAACCCACATCGTTTTTTTACTATTTCAAAAGCTAAACCTTTGCCGCTTTACAGCAAAGTTACACTACAACAATTTACGAGCAAAAATTTAATTAAAATTCCGGTAAATCGATCAATATATCGCTTTTTAAAAACTTGTAGGCTTTTTGATAACTTTTATACTTATATATATATACTTATATACTTATATATATTATACTTATATAAAAATAGCGTTTGTGTGTGTGTGCCACTTTGCATCCACTTCCGTCTGTCTGTCCGGAGGATATCTCAAGAGGCAAGAGGTAATAGGCTACTTATGATACGTCATTAGGTGCGCAATGGTCTTGAGATGACTGCACGCATATGAGATTTAACAAAATTACCTATTTTCGACATTAAATTTAAGTTTTTGTGAAAACTTCTTTGTTAGAAGTAATTAGCATAGACCGGAACTGCGTATTCGACTATATAAAGGGGTAGAAGAGATTGTTTTTCATTTTTGGTTTATATATCCTACTATATATAAAAAAATAGTGTCTGTGTGTGTGTGTGCATTTGCATGCAACTTCCGTGAGGATGTTCCGCACCTACAGCCTCAGGGAAGAATTTTTTCGATTGGGCTGAAACGTCACTAGGTAAAGAAGGGTCCGGAATCGACTGCACGCAGATAAAATCTTTGAAAAATTGCCATTTTCGCTATTAAAAACAAATTATTGTAAAATTCTCGCTTACCCTCTTTGTTAGGGATCAATTAGCATAAGCCGGAAGTGGGATAACCTATATAAGGCGACAGAGGAGCGTTTTTCACTTTTTTCCTGATAGATTTTGGGGGAAGAAGCATGCAAATTGCAGACTTTCATCGATCCTAGACGGGGCCAGGGTTGAAAAGCCGCGAAGCTGTTTTTCAACCCTGGTTTTTATCCAAAAACGTACTGAACATAACGCCATACATTCCTTGCGTCCCAGAGTGAGTCGCTGCCACAGAATGGGCCGTCTAAAACAATTTTAAAAAAAATTAAAAAATCAGCACGCAGTCTCAAAAAAACTCGAAAACTCACACAAACGGATACGCCGCCTCCAAGATGTGCGTGTCGTTGACGATGCTCTCGAGCAGACAAGCCGGATCTAGCACCTTGATTGGCCACTTGACGGCCATCTTGGCCTTTTCGCTGTCGATGCCAATGTAGACGTGCGGGTTCAGGAATTCATTGCACTAAAATAGTGGTACGAATTTTCAAGGGATACTATACCATTGAATTGTCGTACATTGTCGCTTTGAAAATGCCGCCGAAATTCACGACAAATTCCTTGATTTGCTCGCGGAGTGGGTGGTCGAGGCCCGTCACCGAGACGACACAATTCTAAAAAAATAGAAGTAGTTTTATGGCCTCATGCTAACCAACAACTACCCAGTCACCACAACACATTCGTGTTAGGCTTGGCAAAACGAGAAACACCGTTTTTGTCAAAAAACGAAAAAATATTACATGTGTCATTTTTACCTCATTTCCTCATTTTCTTTTTTTACATGTGTTATTCTTCACAACCGGTTAGCAGGTTTCTTTCTCACCTCAAAAACCGTGCTCCCGCCACACGCCGGAATCGGGCGGAACAGCGGGCAAGAGTCCGGCTCGAGCAGCTTACCCTCGATCACGCAGCAACGCTGAAAAACAGCTTTTTTCCTTTGCTTTTTTGCTTAGGATCCAGGTTTCTCACATAAAACTGCTTATATAGTTTTTTTCGCACCTAGAAAACGGTCCCAAACTTCTCATTTAAAAAATTCCAAAAACGCCCAATTACGATCAATTTCCAAATTTCGGTTTTCCGCTTTAAATGCAGTTCAAATTCACTAGGATATCAAATCGTGAGACCTCTCGAAAACCGAAAAGATACGTTTGATTTTAAATCCAAACGAACCTGCCAATAGGTAGAAACAATATGCTCGGCGTTGGCTTCTTTTGGGGTCAGCAAACCGCCGAAGTCCATCAGCGGGCAAAGCAGATAGTCGGCTGATACATCGATCGGCTGATACCGGGAGGTATTTTCCTGAAAAAAAAAACACGAAAATGAGACTCTAAAGGAGTTTCAAAAAATAAAGCATCAAAATAACACCCACCGCCACACTCGATTATCTCCTCCTTCATATCAGCAATTTGCCCCTCGTCCATGCCGCGCTCGAAAATGCGCACCTTGCGACTGCCGTAGAAATTGGAGGTGGTGGCGAAGCAATTTGTTGTTGACTGCTTATCGGAGATTGGCCCCATCGACGGCCTGCTGCTCGGAGGGCCCGCGAATTGCATTTCGGGCGTCAGGTCGGCGGTGGTACCTACAAAAAAATATTTTTTATTAAATTTAATTGATTTCTCGCGCAGCAACGCGGCGATGAACAAGCCCCCTATCTTCGGCAAGTAACAGCACATTTTTTGGATTCAGGAATTTGCGCACCCGTGTAAATGCCGATGAATTCGACGTCTGACCGTCCCTTCCGCGGCGCCTCCATCTCGGCGGCTGAAGAGAGCGGACTAACAAACATGGTCAAGGGATGGTTCTGGAACAAGAAGTAGTGTAATTCAGTTTCTGAGGACACACTTAGAATACTTCCCAAGATTGTGATCTTATCCCTTGACCAGCGGGGGAGGAGCCGCTTCGCGACTCTCCCCCGCTGGCCCCGTCTAGGCCATTTGAATCGAGCGCCCTTCCAAATACAGTTGCTCTGAAGAAAGAAAAACGCATCTCCCATGCAAACCTCCTTGTATTGACATGCGGCGCAAGCTTAAATTGCTAGTGTCGTTATTAGGCCTGCGGCGCATGCTTGATCGGCCAGGTCCTTATCCAGCGCCCCGAGCTTGAGCGGTTTGCTTCGAGTTAAAGCCTGCGGCGCAAGTTCGAGCGGTTACCTGCTTCTTTAGCCTGCGGCGCTAGCTTGAGCGACTGGCTTCGTTCTAAAGCCTGCGGCGCTAGCTTGTACGGCTAGCTTCGTTTCAAAGCCTGCGGCGCTAGCTTGTACGGCTACCTTCGTTTCAAAGCCTGCGGCGCTAGCTTGTACGGTCAGCTTCGTTTCAAAGCCTGCGGCGCTAGCTTGTACGGCTAGCTTCGTTCTAAAGCCTGCGGCGCTAGCTTGTACGGCTAGCTTCGTTTCAAAGCCTGCGGCGCTAGCTTGTACGGCTAGCTTCGTTTCAAAGCCTGCGGCGCTAGCTTGTACGGCTACCTTCGTTTCAAAGCCTGCGGCGCTAGCTTGTACGGTCAGCTTCGTTTCAAAGCCTGCGGCGCTAGCTTGTACGGTCAGCTTCGTTTCAAAGCCTGCGGCGCTAGCTTGTACGGCTAGCTTCGTTTCAAAGCCTGCGGCGCTAGCTTGTACGGCTAGCTTCTTTCTAAAGCCTGAGAGGGTAGCTTCATTCTATAGGCTGCGGCGCAGTTTTGAGCGACTGACCTCATAATAACGTCCCTACACGGAAATCCACTCCGAAACGCACTTTCCGAGCAAAAAGCAAAACACCTACGACACCCGAGGATCGAACCCCCGATAGCAAGATTGGCAGGCTGACGCTCTAACCGCTATACCATGAAATGCTTGGGAGCGCCCGCGCAACACGCCTTGTATGCCCCGAGGTGACTGCCGGGAAAAAGGAGCAAAGGCAATGAGAGGCAGCTCCAATGAGGCAGCCAAACGCGCGAGTGCAACTGGCAAGAATGAGGAAATTTGTATTTTCTCGAATTATGCAAATTAGCCCTCAGGGACCCCAAAAATGAATAAAACCGGCCTTAACTTTGTAAACTTGTATTTTATCGAAATTCTGAGAACGCCATCGGAAACAGAAGGGTCGATTCCCCCGGGTGACGGAGAATTAGGGCATTTTATGCACGGGAAGGCCCTCAAATCGGGCCTCGAAAGTGACATCCACACACACACACACACACACACACACACACACACACACACACACACACACACACACACACACACACATACGCGACCAAATTATATAAGGTGGGATCAGACCCTTTCCCCATTTGTTGTTCACATTGTTTCCATAAGCCATTTTTCTTTCCTTTTGGATATGCTTACAACTTAGGACGACTATTGCCCTATAAACATGCCTTTCTCCCTTCTCGATCACTCGATCGCGCTTTTTGGGAGTTTTTCTTACACGGATGTGATATGTATGCTATGGTATTTTCACAGGAGCCCCTCCTTGAAAACAATAAAAAGTCGCTATTCTATTAACAGGCCTCAGCCGACATGTCATCGAGTATTTATTTTGTTAATTTTCATTTTATCATTTACCAGTGGAAAAAGACCGCTTCGCGGCCATTTTCCACTGGACCTCGTCCGGGCACCATGAATTCGAATATCTTCTGTTTTTAGCCTGCGGCGCTAGAACCTGGGTCCAGGACTCATCCATCGCCTGCGGCGCGAGAGCCTGGGCCAAGGACTTTTTTTTGGCCAGCGGCGCTAAAGCGAGGGTCAGGCCTAAACCTCGCACACCGACGGCCTAGAAATTTGTTTTGTTGCTGAGCTACCAAAAAGCAAAAACCTAAGTTCGGGCAGGATCTGAACTCACGACCTTGCGCGTCGTGGCCCCGGCGTTAACCCACTATACCACGGAGCAGCTGGGATCGGAAGGCGGGAAAGCCCTCTTCTGTCCTGGGGCGTAGCGGGAGGCAAAGAAAAGGGCGGCCCGATGATCCCAGGAGGAAGGCCTTCTGGTCACTGCAAAATTCCATTTTTGAGTCTAAATACGCAGCAAATTCGTAAATATAATAAGATGCGCGTGATCCCCACTATCGAATACATAAGTGTTCCAAATTACAGACCGAAATTCCATCAGCGCTTCGAGTTATGACCTGTACAACGCGGCTCGTAACCCAATTTGTTAAGGATTTTTACATTTTCGCTTGTAAAACCGTTAAATTAAGGAATTTCGAAAAATCCAAAAAACCGTTTTTGGCGAATGTGTTTCTCCACCTTCATGCCAAAAATCAGCCGGATATTCGGCCTTACGGCCGAGAAACCGCCCGGACAGAAAACACACATACTTTTCTCGCTTATAGGATAGGATAGTTCTCTTAAGCTGAATAAAGATATTTACGCTTATCGAGTGTGTTTAGATTTTTGGTAGAATACGTTTATACAGAGATACAACTTTATTAAACCCGTTTACAAGGACCTGTGTTAATTCCGTGGGATTCATATTTCTATGACTTTGTACATTAAGTAATAATTTGGTTTAGATTTTTGGCAAAACAAACGTTAATGAAATAAAGCACCAGTGATGATAGAGCTAGACGGACAAAATATCAGAGACCTATACGCGTTGAAATTGGATGACACTTGACGACGATGAGGTTGTGGAAATTTGATGAGCAATCATGGGCGAACCGGGTTGTTCGGGCACCGAGTCGAGTCGGTATGTCCTTGTGGCGGTGCTGGGCACTGATCCGAGCCTCGATACCGTACTCCTTCTCAAACAGCCACGCCCGGCAGCGGGTGTGACCTCTTCTCGCATCGAGAACTTCCTCTGCTAAAATGGAATTATTTTATGATGTTTGTAAGGCATTGGTATTCCCAAAAGCAAGTGAGCATGAGCTTCGGGGGCAGGATGATCATATTTCGAAAATCCAGGTTTTCTAAAGCCATTTTTTCTAACAGCAATCTGTTCTAACATCAAATTTTCCTAAGAGTTTTCTGCCTAAAACCGGAAGTAGACTTATAAATAAGGGACCAAGCCTATCCGGTTTTTGGAAAAACGCTTTTTTAGGAAAATGGATTTTAGATAAGATTCCTGGAAAAATAACTTTAAGAAAAATGGTTTCACAAAACATGACCACAAATGAATTTTGATTTAACAATAGGGGGGGGGGTGTCTATAATTGCGTGGATTCCGTTCAACTAAGCCTCAAAATATTCGGGGGTGGGGGGCTGGTAACAAAGGCAGTGACGTTTGGGGAGCAGGAGCAGGAGGGAGGCGTATCCCGTGCAACATGCAAAGCTAGGCTTATTTAGGGGGACAACTTGAGGGGGGATTCTTGGCTGGAGGGATAAGCCGGCGATACGATACCTCTGCAGCGACTATGCTGGCTGACCGCTGGGCAGTCAGGGCGGGCACCGACCTGTTCGGGTTTTGCTTTATTACTGTTTTACCAAAATCGATTGATTTTGTATAGTTTTTGTAGGAAATTAATGTAGTATTTATATTAATTGTGACTCACCTTCGACCCCGGGAACGGTCATTAGTGGTTGAGGTCACGAGCAGCTGGGTCGTCTCGTTGGGACCCATCGAAAAAAGCGAGGGCGCCCCCGCATTCTGGGACACGAAACGCGAGAACCCGGACCCGGCGAGGTACTGTAATTCGGACGCGAGTTAAAAATCCATCAACTAGTGATACCTTTAAAAAGATGGTTCTATACTTGCTGCCAAAGATCATGTAGATGACAATGGTTGATGCACCATTAATATTAACGAGTAGGGATGAGACCTGGGATTTCGGATTAGGATTTCGGTAATTAAGTGCAACAAACCTCAACTAGCAACGTTTCCAAAGGGGTTGTACCGATGGCTCCGATCAACTCGAGAATATTGTTGGTGAAAGCAAGCAGATTGAACAGCAAAAATTCGCAAGTCATCGCCACCAGCATGATGGTCACCCCGTGGTCGCGACGTTCTAAAGCATGCTCTCATCCGTTAAATTAAAAAATCCATACCTGGTAGTACAACGGCTCCTTTCATCTGGAGTCCTTTACGCTCTTTATCGATGATTGAGCCTTCAGTTGGTTTCACCCCAGATAGACGCGATTTACTCGAGCCTTGCTGCACGGTCATCTGGCGCCGCAATCTGAATTTTTTTGTAAGTAAGACTACGTAAACTAGCAATACCTATGCGACATTCTGAGTGTATTGACAATGCGCACATTGAGCACAATCAGCACGGCGAATGGTAGGAAAAACATGATGATCGTATACGCAGCATTCCGATAGATCAAGGTATATAACGGACCAATCATGACAGCTGTCGGCATTACAACAAGTGTCTCGCTAAAGGAGCTTAGGATACTAATTTCTAATTGTCGCTGACTTACCTCATCGTCTCATTATTCCGACACGGCATATATTCAAGCTCAAGCCATCGAGGTATGTTGAATGCAATGGCAAAGATCACTGCAAACGCGATGACGCCTCGGACTACGCTTCGATTCGATATTCGTCGTATCTATAAACCAACGTATTCAAACGTACTAGGAAGTAGGTATCAATTTAAGCTCCCCAGCCCGGTAGAAACCTACCAAAAATGGATGGCATACGCCTAGATATCGATGCGCTGAGACGACAATTGTCAAATAGACCGACATCGTCAAAGAAGTCTGCGCAATTGGGTATGAATATACGATAAGGAATGCTGATAATCGGAGTAGAGCTGAAAAGAGGATACTAATTTGTTTCTCGGGATGATAAAAACGAACCTGGATCTCCGGAAGCTTCTGCATATACTGGGAGGGAGAAGACGAAGAATGATGAAAATAAGACGCAAATGTCTGACAGTGAAAGGGCCAGGAAGAACCAATTGACGAGTTGGTTACGCATCTAAAAATGTTTTCAATTTTATTCTATAATTTTTTACATTTTCTATGACTTAATTCGATTTCTTATTTTCCAGCTTCCGGCCATCAATTCCGTAGAAATTTGAGAGACAGCTGGTAGGCCACTTGAGATGTGCGTCAAGAGGCAACTGTTTACGATAATCACCTGGTCAACCGGTTCTTTTTTGTGTTTAAGACCAAGATCCCCTGCCAACCTCCCCGAATTTTCCACCTGGGTTCCCCTAATTTCAGTGAAATATGTACGGGCTTTGACGCGCGTGGAAAACCCCCTTCGCTTCCGCGACATAATGACCAGCTAGTTCAAAGCACACCTAAAAACTGCGAGCTCACCTTTTTGTGTGAGAAGACGATGACATTAATGAGATTTGCGAGGATGCCGAAGAGGTATGTGGCCGGCATTAAGTAGGCACGGAAGAGGAATTGGACCTGAAATTCGTGAGTTGTTTTTTTGAGAGGGAGGCTCACCTCGGTGAATCCCTCTTCCGTATAGGCTGTACAATAGAAATTCCCGTCATCGCCTTCTACCATTCTCTGAAATTAACAAATTTAGATGGTAGCTGGTCTCAAGTGGAAACAGCTTAAAATCGACTTGACGAGGATTTGAAGTGGCTGACTCGAATATAAATGGATACCGGGATAAAAGGCCAATTTGGATGCAAAGCAAAAAGACCAAAAAATTGTAGACGGATAAACTTTATTTAATAACAGCTTTTCCTGAATTTTTTATTTTGCATCCTACTGAATCTCACATCCTGGTATCGAATCCCTATACGTAACCTCATTAGTTTAAAGGGGCTGGGACATTTTCTAAAAATCAACTCTCGCAACCGGAACACCCTTGCAACCACTCCCCAAAAACCCCCAAAAACCCTCGCTTCCAAAAACCCAAAGAACAGCCCCGTTACGCTACTTAAATCCAATTACCCCTTGTTCCGGGTCTTCTAAATATTTATCGGGATCCACACTCATACTCACACACTCACACACATACCCCGAATTTTAAGCCCAGATTCGATTAGCTTTGCCGGGCGTGGGTGGACGAACAAAAACTGGGGGCCCCGAAAATTTGCCTTCAAAAAATGAGCTCATGCTCATGCTCACGTTGGAAGATGGATAATCAAGGGATGTGGACGGGAATTAGTAACGGGGGGTCGGATGTCAAAACTGGACACACACAGCCATTTCACTCAATTCATCAAAACCCAGGGCATCCCCCCATCCTCTAGATGGACAGACCGACAAACTGAAAAAGGGGTGAAAAAGACAGACAGACACGTGTCCTGATGCTCAACACGAATGAGGACGGGGTCGATTGAAATATCGCCCTGTTTTTGCCCGGGGGCACGAAAATTTCGGGGTTGGATTCGGAAGGTATCTGAATTATCTGAGCGCCAACACTTACAGCCGGCATCTTTAGCATTGGGACGAGTTGGCTAGGTGAGGGAGAGTCTGGGGATCATGATCAAAATGAGGGTTTTAAGCGAGGTGCGTGGGTGGGGGATGACATGGGTAATTAGAAAATTTAAATTAGGTAATTTTTGGTCGGCAGGAGGAGGGATAGGAGTTGGGGAAGGTCTCTTTGCAAAGACAACGGGAAGGAGGTGCCAATAGGAGCTATCGCGTGTCTCAAAAGTATTCAATGAATTATTAAGTTTAAATAGTTTTTAAAGATCATTTTTACTCTGGTTTTCGCTAAAATCCAAGCGTATAATGGAATTTCTGTAATTGTCGAGGCTTAATAAGTTACTATTAGGAAAAATCTAAGATAAATTACAAAAAATAAACTTTTCCAACGAGGGGAAGGAGGTCAGGCTTGATTTTGGGGTTTTCCGATCGATTAAAATGCTGAATCTCGAGCTATATTTGTTTTTGGATCGACATCTACTTGTCAATAAAATGAAAGTTTTAACCCTCATTTTCCTTGAAAATTATTTGTTAAAATAGTTTTCTCCAAAAGTTTGAGACACCGTCCAGACAAGGAAATAAACAGTTTTATAAAGCCTTTTCCAATATCCTGTAAGTATATAAGGTCCCTCAAATGGCAAGTGCAAATCAAAAATGATCTCAAAAACGGCTGCGCATTAACGCAATTGGGGGGAGTTGCACTGACGGAGGTGGGGGAGGAGGAGGACCCCCGGGGGCACCCGGAGCGGCAGCTGGAAATCAACAGCCTGCTACCGTAATTGCCTAGCACCCTTATTTTTGGACGGCGCAAAGAGGTAACCGGCCGGATGGAGCCGGAAACCCAGGGAGTCTGGATTTTGCGGGGGTTCATTATTGGGGGCCTAAAATTAGGGTGTTGGTCGAGGGTGGGGGGACATTCCCTCCCCGGGTTGCAAGATGTCTGAATGAATCACAAGGGGAGGAAGTGGGCTCCTTCTCTTGGGGCCCTGTTTTTGAGGGGCTAAACAGCCAATTTGGAGGTGGAGCTTCCTTTGGTCGCTGGGCTTGCCCTGTGTTTAAAAAGCCTTTTTATTGATGTAAACCGCTTATTTTCATCTCGTCGAAAACAATTTTGCCAAATATCACGTTTTCGAACAACGCTTGGCCAAAATTTCATCTTGTCGAAAATCATTTTGTTAAAAAAATTATTTTTTTTGAAAGATGATTTTGTCGAACGAGCATTTTGTCGAAATAGAATTTTGGTGAAAAACCATTTTGTCCATATTTCCATGCCCTTTCCGCTCGATCTGAAACATCTCGCAAATTGAAATTTAGCTTATTTAATTTTCGACAAAATGGTATTTCGACATAAAGAAATCTCGGCACAAAGTGATTTTGTCGAAAGTTCTGTAGAAAACTGACGTTTTCTACAGGACTTACGAGGTTTATTTATTCGGGCGCGCGGGGCGAACGGGGCGCTCCTTTCCACGCCATACCTCCGTGGGGCGCTCCCCTGCGGAAGGGCCTATGAGGATTTATTCCCCAGTCTCCGCGGCCTCTCCCCAGCAGGGGGTCGTTGCGGCCAGTCGTTCACGCGACTGGTTTGGGAATAAAGCGGTGTTTGAATCAGATTTATCTGATTCGGATATCCGTTTGACTCATAATAGACTCCAGCCCAGACTCTTTCCTCCCCGCCCAGAGCTAGCCAGATTCCCCCGCCCAGAGTTCCCCCGTATTCGCGTCTCGTGTATTCCATGCACTAATAAACGTTTTCTAATACAATTGTTTTCAGGGTTTTGGTAAATGCATTGTACAAACACTACCGCTTTTAGCCGATCGCGCGCGTTATTGGTTTTAGGTCTTTCTCCCAACAAGGGCTGCGGGTGGCAATCCTTCGCGTGGGCGCTTTTCCAGTATTTATCACTGGATTAGCGTAGGATGCCGCTGCCTTTCGTCATGGTGCGTCTACCAGGTTTTCACCGGGTCAATTTTGCATTGTACCTACCCAGAACTTCATCGATGGATAACCCAGACACGAATTCCTATATGAGGAAAGCCCAGAATCTTGCCTTGGCAGATTTTACTGTCAGCGCAGACAGATTTTCCAGTTTTTAACTGGCGCCAGACGTAGAAAGAAGCAGTTTGGGGTGATTATTGGCCAATAATCACCGCCTTTCTCAGGTTCGGCTTGTCCGGCGAGAGTTTAGCACTCTATAAGCAGATGCTATTCACCACTCTAGTTCCCCATTGGACTGGCAGTGTCCTAGGATTAGCGTACGAAGAAAATTCCGGCACACAAAAAACGGGAGCTGGTTTTCTGCCTGCCCGGTGACCGATGAAATTCCGGCGTGAAAGCGGGAGCTGGTTTTCTGCCTGCCCGTGGCTGACCAGGATCTTTGGGGCGAGGAGGAGAAGGTAAAACTGCAGACTTCGGCGATGGCGATTTGCCAAAAGCAGAGACTCGCTTTCAGGAGTAAAGGGAAACTCCAGACCAGGAATTTTTGAAGTTTTTTCTAGCTCGGCACCATCAAAATTGTGTTTTTTCTTATGGAGCCTAAAGCAGTCGACGGATATCCAATCGGATAAGCAGATTCTCATCGTCTTTTTCTCAAATCAGACCGAGACGATGGCGGTAATGGTCAACAATGGGAAGAAAGAAGGTGACGAGCCTGTTTTGGACGAGCTTTCGCGACGCCGACCGATGTGACGAATGCTCGCGAGCCACTCTACGCGACATGGAGTGCGCAAGGACGATTCGTGCAGGATGCTCATCGATCGACGGATGTGCAGGTAACGATTTTCAATTTTTCGGAGGGTTATTTCTCTTCAATAGCCGTCGCAGCTATTGTTGAGATTTAATCTGACGAGAATTGTCAATCGTTTATTGTTCCAGAATGGTTTAGAAGAGGCAGATTAGTGCACCCAGCCTTGAGAAAGCTGTTGGTTGCTCTTTTCTTGCTGTTTTCAGTGCGAGAAACCCAGAAATTTCTCAAAAAGCAGACTCTCGTCACCTCAAAGCAGATTTTTCGTAATCTGAAAAGCAGATTTTCCCTTTTCCAGCCTTCGGGTTTTGCAGATTTCCTTCTTCCAGCCTTCGGGCAAAGCAGACCCTAGTTTTCTATCCTTTTTTCCAGACGCGAAATATCGTTATTCGCAAAACAGAATTCATTTTGTCAATGAAAACGTCTTCCTACGTCCTTTTGCGGCGCAATGGTCGGCGTGAGCATAGGAAATTTTTCGAAAGTTTTTCTGCGGCGGCAAGTGTACACACGAATACACTTGACGGGCACGCGGTCGCGTTCGCGTCGCGTGCGGGCCTTTTTCCCGGGCCTACGCGAATTATTTTCGAATTATTTTCTCCTCTCGCTCTCTCATTTCATTTTCGATTTGCTTTCTTCTTTTGCTTTTCGATGTTTTCTTTTACTTTCAACAATAGTTTACTCTATTGTTGTTAGTATACTTTCCAGTTCGCATTTCTTCATCGAGTGTTCTCGATTCCAGACTTTTTCTCAAATCTTTTTCAGGTAATCTCATAGCTTGGAAGAAGATGAGCGAGATGGAGCTGCTGAAGGATGTGCGCAAGTGCATCGACGACTGGGCGACCCTGAGCGTGCAAGCCGAAGATGTCTCCCTCAAGCCGGAGCAGATCACGGCCATCGAGGATGAGTACAATAAAGGTCAGTACGAGCAGAAACTGCGCGATACCGCCCAGACCCTGCATGCTTTCGTGCATGTGTTGGAGCAGGCTTTCGCTGAGGCTCGCCTCAAACCAGACCTTGCCCTTTCCCTCAAGCAGATCCCCATTGAGCAAGTATTGGGCGAAATGTCCGAATACGAGAAAAAGCTCTCAGAATGCTATTCGCTGCTCACCGGCACCGCTCTTATCCTTGATAAGGCTACCGGTCAACAGCATACCCAGGCCAAACGCTTCAACCTCTTCGACTCTTTCGTGGAAGATGACACTAAGGATGAAACAATCCCGTTGTTGTTCGACCGCGAGGAGTCGGAGCAGCGCGAAGCTAAGGTGTCTTCGCAGAAGCAGACTCCAAAGCCGGAAACTATTCCAGCTAAGCAGAATAAAACTGGTTCTCGGGCTCCGAAGCCAAAGCAGAAGGGTGGGGCTCCAGCCAATCCAGACCTTACAA